TCTCTAAAGTTGATAAGGGGCAATCCTGCTTTATTCATCCTTCATTTTAAGACAAATTTAAGGTTGAATATTTTGATACAGGGTAAGTATGACTTCTGATTATTTTAATTTTCAGTTGTACTGTTCACATTGTGAATTATTTTGCAAATAACATTTGAACATATATGTATTTTGAAATAATGACATGAATTCTTGTAGACTGTATTCAACATTCCTAGGGTTCTATGGAATGTATCTAAATTCTAGAGTTGTTATGAAATGTAATGTTAAATTTTACCTAGATAATGATTATCCTTTATTTAGATAAGAAAGACTATCTAATAGGCATTTTTCAGTGCAGATCTGACTGAACTGCTTTTGTTTTTCTACAGACAAGTTGGTTTTCTTTGGAGAAAAAGTTTAGAACTAAAGAAATTGTGTTTATTAGTCCAAATTATATAAACTGGATTATTAATGTTTGGTATTTTTCCAGCCTAAGAGCTAATCTTTCCAAAAACCTTCCATTGCTTAAAATTGGCAAAAAGGGGTCTTGTGACACTGACTCATAAACTGTCATTTCCCCTCCTACATGAGACCACTCAGATCAAATGAGACAAGGCTCCTGCAGCGTAGGACAAAGATGCTTTGCAAGTAATCCACAATGTCTTCAGAGAAAATTTTTCAGAGATGGTGGCAGGGGGCGGGTAGATCACATGGAGCTACTTGTCAAACCCTACCAAAAATAAATGGGGGAGGTTATGGAAAGGGAGTTCTTACACTCTTATGTGAGCTAACACTAAAGCCCTTCCCCCAAGTAGAACTATTAAATATTTCAGACTATTTCAGAAATAAGCATCTAACTCCTTATGTTCAAGTCCCTTGATGTGATTTGCACACCAATCCAACAATGGACTGCCAGCCAGATAGCATGGAGCCCCAATTCTCTCAAGATTAAGGGGATGAACTTAATGGGAGATTTGAAATAGACTCCTTCTGAAATTAAGGGAAACTTCCTGATAACTTGCTTTGCCTGCAGGAATTCAAATAGCCTCCCCCTTTGGCAGGGTACTGGGGATTGAACTCAGGGGCACTCGACCACGGAGCAATATCCCCAGCCTTATTTTGTATTTTATTTAGAGACAGGGTCTCACTGAGTTGTTCAGCACCTTATTGTTGCTGAGGCTAGCTTTGAACTCTTGATCCTCCTACCTCAGCTTCCAGCACCTGGGATTGCAGGCATGTGCCACCACACCCAGCTGAAACAGCCCCCTGAAAATAGCTGTTAAAACAGCTACAAACTGTTTTAACTTCTGAACTTCCTCCCACAGAGAAAAGATGCCAAGGAAGTTGAGACTGACAGGTTCTATGGCTAACTAAATCTGCTTATATACATTTCCTGCCTTTTTCTTTGCCTCTTCTTATAAGAGCTTCCCTCGCCCTTGAGCTTTCTGAACATGGAGATTTGAGATGGGAAGTCTCCTCTAACTTCCTTGAGAGCTGGCCTATTTTCCTGCCAACTTAACTCTGCATGTTAAGCCTCGCTTCTTATCCCTGATAGTAATAAGCTCTCTAGTCAATGAACAAATCCTAGCTCAGACTTTCACTTAATGAGTGGCCTTAGGCAAGTGACCTAATCTATTTCTATCACTTTTCCACCTATTACAAATTGTAACAGTACGTACTCAAATGAATAATGGGAGGATCCAATTACATGTGAAATCTTACACTGCACAAAGGAACTGTTTTAAAAGTTTTACTCCAGCCGGGCACGGTGGCACATGCCTGTAATCCCAGCAGCTGGGGGGCTGAGGCAGGAGGATCCCAAGTTCAAAGCCAGCCTCAGCAAAAGCAAGGCACTAAGCAACTCAGTGAGACCCTGTCTCTAAATAAAATAGAAAACAGGGCTTGGGATGTGGGTCAGTGGTTGAGTGCCCTTGAGTTCAATCTCTGGTACCGAAAAAAAAAAAAATATATATATATAAAGAGCCATTACATTACTATAAAAAGAAATAAGGAGTATCTTTATATATTTATCATGTTCCTGAATGTGTGAAAAAGAAGGTAGACAAAACTACATAGTATGCTACCATTTTTTTAAAGAGAGAGAGAGAAAAAAAAATTTTAATATTTATTTTTTAGTTTTCAGCAGACACAACATCTTTCTTTGTATGTGGTGCTGAGGATTGAGCCCAGGCTGCACACATGCCAGGCGAGCGCACTACTGCTTGAGCCACATCCCCAGCCCAGTATGCTACCATTTTTTAAGGAAAGAAATGAATATGAATGTATATTAATATATGCTCATATTGTTAAAAATGATGGAAGGATAACCCTTTAAATTTCACTAAAGGAAATGGAAGGAGGAAGGGAGGACGTAAGATGAAGAAAGAAGCTAGATTACTCTGAATATACTGTGTTTTCTAGATTTGACCTTGGAACTAAGTAAATATTTTTAAATGTTTTATAGAATCTTAAAGAAAAACAATATAAAATAATTCCTAATAACAGTAAACATCCTTTTTGTCTGCCTTTCCTAAAGACCAGACAGAAATGTCTTGATTCTCAGTTCATCAACATGAATTAATTTGACTCAGTATACACATACAACAGTCTCAGATTAATACTACAATATTAACCATCAGATATAAAATGAATAAATTAAAAACTTAAGTCCAGAATTTCATTTGGAAGTATCATTTTTGAATACATGAGGTATTTTTTTCTTTAAAAAAATCTTATAAATAGTTCTTAACTCTGTCAGTGAAAAGGCCTAGAAATGATTCCCTAACATCCATGCTGTGGTATTAAAAACTAAAAAGATCTAGGGCTCCCTAGAAGAAATGGTCAATTCCAAATCAGAGACAGGGAATATACAGAATGACCCATGAACTTGTAGCACCAGAAAGGAAGGACAATACCAAAGGCTTGGGGGCCAAGTTGAAAGAGTTTCTACCAGCCAAACACAGGATAGTTTTGACTCCTAATAAGGATAATAAGGCAATTGATTAAGAAATAAAAAAATATTTAAATCCTTAAGTCTGAGAATGATACATTAAAAAGGGCAAATTTACCTTTGAATTAAGCTATAAAATCAACTCATTTCAAACTTAAAAAAAGTCACTTAGCCCATCTTTTCTGAATAATATGTAGCTCGTGGTATACAAATAATATATGCAGGGCAAAATCTCTATATAAGCATTCCATCAAGAAAATGACAGAATGAAAACATCACCATTTTGCAGCCATTAATGAACTAATGGGTCTGAGCAGTAATCACCAATAACTGGTAGTTACAGATAACCATGCATAACATGCCTCCTAGCAGAAATTTTTAAATCTTCCAAATATGATCCAGCTTCTAGATCTACCAACTGAAAGGAATAACTGGGGAGAGTAGATTATGTCAAATACCACCATGGGGTATTTAACAGAAAAATCCAGAATCCATAATACTAAAGAACAAATCACCTAGTTGCTTAAAACAACAAATGGAAAAAAGAGATGAAGGGGAATCTATAGGTAAGAGAATGAATAACTATAAGCACACCCAGCTCCTGGTGCAGATTTTTAAGTACCAATCCCATTAAGAGGAACAAAAGATCCTTGCAGAAGTTGCTGATTTCAGGACTAAAACAGAAAGGTGATGTAGAATGTGTATTTGTGCTAGAATGTAAGCAAGTGCTCCAAGAATGATAAGGACATGGGGAAAGGACAGGGGAACTACCCTGAAAAGAATTCTGCTAGCCAAACTGAACACAGTTTGAACACAAAAATGAATAATGACAGTAATGGATGGTAATAGTGAAAAAAATAAACATTAATAACTGCTTCAGGCAAGAATCATCAGTGAATATTAAAGCTAATGGGCAAAAGTTTTGAGGAAACATACTATTATCACAGGGTACAACAGTTCCATTGCTATGTATCTGCTCAAATGAGAACATACGTCACCACAAAAAAAAGTGCAAATAAATGTTATAAGCAAAAAGTAGAAACCACAAAAATGTTCAACAAATGAATAAATAATGTGGTCCATACATACAATGGAATATTATTCTTGTGTAAAAAATAAAGTGCTGGTTCATGCTGTAATGTGAATGAACCTTAAAAACAGGTCACATGAAAGAAACCAGACATAAAAGGCCATATTTTATATGATTCCATTTATATGAAATATCCAGAGTAGGCAAAAACATAGAGGCAGAAAGTAGATTAGAGGTTACCAGCAAATGGGGAAAAGAGGGAATGGAGAGTGAGTGTTAAGAATAGGGGTTTCATGGGCTGAGGATATAGCTCAGTTGGTAGAGCGCTTGCCTCACATGCACAAGGCCCTGGGGATCAATCCCCATGTACCACACATGAAAAAAGAAAGAAAAGGGGTTTTTTAGAGACAATGAAAATGTTCTAGCATTACTAGTGATGGTTGCACAATTCTGAATATACTAAAAACCACTGAACATTTGAAAAGGCTAAATTTTGTAATAGTGAATTATATCTTATTATTTTAACAAACAGATAATCAAGGAGCTCAGTGGTAAAGCACTTATCTAGCATGCACAAAGCCCTTGGTTCAAACCCTAAATACCAAAAAAAAAAAAATCAAGATATTTTAGAATATCAAGTCTGACAGGAAATACCTAAGTCAAACAACAAGTATGAACTGGAGAATCCAATATGGAATTAGCATTAGTATCCAGGCCTGTGACTAATGTGGGCCTGGCAGATAAGTCAGTGATACGTGAGTATCATAGAAAAGGTAGTGCCAGGGAGTGACAGCATTTAAAAGATACTTACATATAAAAGGAATTGTGCAGAAACTTGCTGGGGAGTACCAACTTAACAAGAGCAATGTGGCGTGTGGGGACAGGGTTAGGGCTATCAATCTTATATCTGTGGTGTTCCTATCCCCATCCAACAGCATCAAATGGTCACAATTTTATCCTAGGACATTCTTGGAAGCCCTTTCATGAGAATTTATAGGCTAGGGCCTCGTGTTCAGAGCCTTAGTCAATCCTATTTACCTGGAAAGCTCCAAATTGGAATTCTGTCTTCTGCTGGGCATAGCTCTTCCACCTCCAACTTGAGGATGAGGTCTGGTTTACAAACCTGTTGCCCTGTTAATGACAAATGACAGATAGCTTCTTGGTATAATTCTTCAGAGCCAAGACAAAAGAAGTTTCAGTTTGGTGACAGCACAAGGGAACCTGTTGCTTGACATAATGGTAATGTCAAACCATTTAACCTGGATTTTTAGTTCTCAAATACCTTTTCAGGAAAGAAAAGTGGGAAATTGAGAAACAAAATGTCCTCCATTTGATGCAGTAATCATAAACAGCAAAATTACCTGAGGAAGCCATTCTTACCCACGGAGACCAGGTTGCTGTAGGTCTCTAGCATCACATCTCGGTATAAGGTCCTCTGCAGAGGGTTCAGGTACTGCCACTCCTCCTGAGTGAAATCCACAGCCACATCCTCAAATTTCACTAGTCCCTGTAATGGCACATTCCTTTTATTCTAAAATGCTGACCACCAGGTGATAAGAACACAGGAGAACTTCTAACTGGGTTCCCCAGTCCTCATGATGACAATACACAATATCTATTTCATATCAAGTTAGTGACCTACTTTGTATGAAAATCACAAATCATGAGAGCAAAACTATTCCACTAAGAAATAGAGGGCTTTTTGTTTGTTTTTGTACTAGGGATTTGGCACCAGGAATGTAGCTTAACCACTGAGCTACATCCCCAGCCCCTTTTCTTTATTTTGAGATAGTCTCATTAAGTTGGTTAAGGCCTTGCTTAGCTGAGGCTGGCTGTGAACGTGAGATCCTCCTGCCTCAGCCTCCTGAGCCACTGAGATTACAGGCATGCACTACCACATCTGGCAATAGAGTATTTAAAATGATGCAATATTAGCACAAGGATAGACAGTCTGGTGGGAAAAAAAAAGAATCCAAACATGTACAGACAGCTGACTTATGACAGTTGGCATAGCAAAACAATGGAGAGAGTATGATCTTTTCTTTTTTTAATATTTAATTCTTTTAATTGTAAGTGGACACAACACCTTTATTTTATTTTTATGTGGTGTTGAGGATGGAACCCAGGGCCTCATGCATGCTAGCTGAGCACTCTACCTCTGAACAACAACCCCAGCCCAAGAGTATGATCTTTTCAATAAATGTAAATGGATTATTAGATGTCTATATGGGGTAAAATGAAATTTATCCCCTAATACATGCAGGTAAAATATAAATCTAATGTAAAAAGTGACACAATAAAGTGTCCATAAAATAACTGTAGGGTCACCTAATCACCCCTCCCCTTTCTGTGTCTTGACTACTCTGTAACCCAGACAGCTGTAGGTATTTTCCTGCAAGTTTGAGCCCAAACTGGTGCCTTGAACATTCCCAGGCACTGATAAACTGGTTTATGTGGTGGCCCAAATCCTTAAATCCTCATGTCCCCCTCACTGCAGACAAATCAAGCTAGGTAGGACATCCCTGTCTCTCATTGTCATGATGCTGAAGCCCACTCTGTAAGTTTTAATAGATGCTCAGGAATGATCATCTGGCTTTTTAGTGCTTCTTTCATTACAATCCCAACAGGCCCCATAGCAAGACAATTGGGGCACTCCCTTTGTAGGAATTCCCCTGCTGCCTTTTTTTTTTTGTGGTGCTGAACATTGAACCCCCTTCCTTGCACATGCTAAGCAAGCACTCTGCTACTGAGCCACATCCCAGCACATGCTGTCTCTTTGGGGGCAACATCAGACTGGATTCAGCAAAATAAAACAATAATATAGAAAATGTGTTCATAAGTCTAAATTGAAAAGCACTCATAAAAGGAGAGACTTGGAGTGTTACAAGATTGAAAGGGTAACAGTGAAAAGGCAAGCCATTAAGGGAGATCACCTGCAATATTCATGAAGAGAACAACCACTGTCCTATCTGTAAGAAATACACAACACAAAAGAGCAGACAAGAGAAGTGAGTAGGTACTTCCTTAAAAATGAGAACCAAGTGATCTATGAACAGAAGAAAATGTACTTGTCCTTGGCACTCAGATACATTGCAATGTATTCAATCTTATTAGCACTCGGGAAATGAAAATTTAAGCTACACTGAGACACCTGTATGTACTTGCCAGAAAAGGTATAATTAAGCAGACTAATGCACCATAATGTTGCATTGAAATGGGAATTCTCATGTCCCATTAGTAGGAATGTAACCTGGTATAATCACTTGAAAAACACATGGCATGATTTACTAAAGTTAATGATTTGTATACACTATGACCCAGAAGCTCCTTCCCTAGGTACTCACAGAAAATTGTGCACATGTGCTCTAGGAAACAAGTCCAGGGATACTCAAAGAAGCACTGTTTCTAATACTAATTCATGGAAAAAATCCAAATGTCCATTACCAGTAGAATGAGTAAACTGTGGCACAGTCATTCAATGAAATGCTGTATGGTGACCAAAAGTAATGAAATACACCTGCTTGTTGTAATGCAGGTTCACTCTTCACTTGTTACCAATTTGAATCATGTGCAATTGTTCACAAAAGTTATATGGAGTGGGATTATTCTTTAGATAGGCATCAGGGGACAACAGAATCCTAGGATTCATTGTGAGTTGGTACCCCAAGTCTCAGGAAAGCTGATCAGGGCAGATGGAGTTTTCTGAATATGCCTCACTTGCACCATAGTGAACTGACCTCAGAAAACAGCCAGTCCTGTGTTTTCTATGTTGGGGGCAAATGAACCATTGAAAGACATCCTGTTTCTAGGAGGGGACTGGATCAGGGTTCAGGTTATTCTGACTAGCTCCCCACTTATCTCAGATATTACATTCCCAGCACATTCTACAGTTATTCTTAAGAAATATAAATAAGAGTCAGTGTGATGGTGCACACCCATAATCCCAGTGGCTCAGAAGGCTGAGACAGGATAACTGCAAGTTGGAGGTCAGCCTCAGCAACATAGTGAGACCCTGCCTCAAAAAATATGAAAGGCTGGGGATGCAACTCAGTGGTTAAGTACCCCTGGGTTCAATTCCCAGTACAAGGGGAAAAAAAGAACTACAAATAACAAAGAGGTGAAAACTAGTCCACGGCCACCCAGAGGACCTTCCTGCACATATCCAACAAAGATTAATATAATAAATGTACTAATGAGAAAAAGAAGCCCCGAATATACTCCATATTTCTATTTATAAATTGTAAGAGAACAAATTAGGCTAGTTAATCCATGATGTTAGCAGTGAGGATAATAATTATTTCTACATATGGCAAAAATTTAGGGAAGGGAATGAGAAGGGTGCTGAGGTCCTAATTATGTTCTTTCTACATCTTAGCCTAGGTGGTAGCTACAGAGTGTGTTTTCATGCTTGTGATAATACATCCAACTGTATACTTAAAAACTGTGCACTTTATATGCACTTTATATCTTTATTCATAAGAATTATTTGCAGGGTTGGGGTTGTGGCTTAGTGGTAGAACACTGGCCCTGGGTTCAATCCTCAGCACCACATAAAAAATAAATAAATAAAGGTATTGTGTCCATCTACAACTAAAAATATTTTTTAAAAGAATTACTTGTAATAGAGCTGGGAATGTGACTCAGTGGTAGAGCATTTTGTCTAGCATGTCTGAGGTCCTGGGTTCAATCCCTAGCATCAGATACAAAAAATATTTTCAACAAAAAGAGGCAAATCAATGGGAAAATGGGACGACTTTCTATGTCAACAAATTATTCTGAAACAACCGGATATTCTTCTTTTTTAAAAAAATCTTTATTTTTGAGTTGTAGTTGGACACAATACCTTTATTTCACTTATTTACTTTTATGTGGTACTGAGGATTGAACCCAGATCTCACACATGCGAGGCGAGTGCTCTACCACTGAGCCACAATCCCAACCACCAGATATTCTTTAAAAACCTCAATAACTCCAACATAAAATTAACTCAAAGTGCATTATAGATGTCAATGTAAAAACTAAACCTATAATATTTCTTAGAAGAAAATACAAGAGAAATTCTTTTGAACCTTCAGTTAGCCAAAAATTTCTTAGATGTGACAACAAAATTCAAAAGACATTGTTAGAGATTGAAAAGTCAGAGAATGAAAGAAAGTATTTATAGATCAAACATCTGGCAAAAAAACTTGTATTGAGAATACAAACAAGAACTATCAAAATGTGAGGGGAGGGCTGGGGTTGTGGCTCAGCAGTGGCACGCTCACCTAGCACGTGCGAGGCCCTAGGTTTGATCCTCAGCACCACATAAAAATAAGTAAACAAAATAAAGGTATTGTGTCCAACTACAACTAAAAAATAAATATTTTTTTAAAGTAAGGGGGGTTACTGGGGAATTTGTCAAATTACATTATGTGCATGTATAAATATGACACAATGAATCCCACCATTATGAATAATCATAATGCACCAATAAAATGGGGGAAAAACCTAAAAAGTGAAGCAAAAGCTAGATACCTCACCAAAGAAGAAATATAGTTAGCAAATAAATACATAAAAATTTTCTCAACACCATTAATCATAAGGGAACTGCAAATTAAAACAACCATGATACACCACTGTACACTTATTATAATGTGGGGGATGACAATACGTAGGACTGGTAAGGATATGGAGCAACCAGACTTCTACTGGCAGGAATGTAAAATGGCATAGCCCCTTTGGAAATGGTTTTCCAGTTGTTCATGAAGTTAAGCGTGTACTACTACATAATCTGGCAATCCCACTCCCAGGTATATTTACCTGGGTGAAATGAAAACTATATAAATCTCAAACCCTATAAAGGAACATATATATGTACACATGTATGTGTATATATACGTGTGTGTGTGTGTGTGTGTGTGTGTGTGTGTGTATAGATAGATAGATAGAGAGAGAGAGATTGAACTCAGGGCCTTGTGCATGCTAGGCAAGTGCTCTACCACTGAGCTATACCTGCTAGCCCCTAGCAGCTATATTTTTTATTTTCAATCACCAAAACATGGAAATAACCTAAATGTTTTTCAACCAATTGATAAACAGCCTGGATTACACACAATATAATATTACTCAGCAATAAAAATGAAAGAACTACCAGGCATGGTGGTACACACCTGTAATCCCAGCACCTCAGGAGGCTGAGGCAGGAGGATCCCATGTTTGAGGCTAGTCTGGGCAGCTTAGCAAAACCCTGCCCAAAATAAAAAATAAAAAGGGCTGGGGACATAGCTCAGTGGTAGAGTGCTCCTGGGTTCAATCTTCAGTACCACACACAAACACACAAAAGAACTAATAACAGTCAACACATGGATGAACCTCAATGTATTCTTCTACATCAAAGAAGCCAAACTCAAAATGACACTTTGAATGATTCCATTTATATATGGGGTAAAAGCAAAAGTGCAGAATGGAAATACATTATTGACTAGGAGACAGGGTGCAGGAAGGGGCTGACTACAAAGATGATACATT